TTAGTCCAAATAATTAAACAAGTTGGATTAGAACTGTGTAACGATCTACATCTAAAGAAGTAAATTAAGAAAGAAAAGGCTGACTCTAAAAGAGAGGAGATTTCTGTTACCAGTTTGGAATAGCTCCTAAGCTGTCTCATTCCAAACCAGTTCACAGAAAAAAGAAATCAAAATTTTACAAAAAGAAAGAAGAAAAAAGAAATAGGAAACCAAACTTTTCTAAAAGAAAAGAAAACAAAAGCCCAACTTGTTTTAAGTGTGGAAAAAAGGGAAATTACGCTAAAAGTGTTTCAAAAATACAAAAAAGGTGAATGGATTAGGAGAATCGGAAGAGGAAGGACAATCGGAGAGAGAGTCCTCAACCTCTTCAGAAGAGTGTTGCGCGAAAGGAGTATGTACTTGCAAAAATGAGACAAGTATAGAAGAAGAAGATTCAGGCGAAATTAATGTATTGACCCTAGATGAAGAACACCTCTTAGAAATTCTGGAGGAAATTCCTGATGAGGAATTAAGAAAAAAGCATCTATTGTTGGCCCTCCAAAAAAAAGAAAAGGAAAATAAGGAAAAGGCTAAAAAGCCATTTGAAGCCAAGAATATAATTTCATATAGTGAGATTATGAAAAAAGCTCAAGCAGGAACTTCTCGACCTCCTACCTTGCATGATCTCAAGCACGAGGTCAATGAGCTCAAAAGGGAAATTAGAACCCTAAAAGACAGGGTTGATCAACTAGAATCTGAGAAATCCTGGGCAAAACAATCTGAAAAATCTTCAGAAATAGAACCCACAAAATTTGTTGGAGAAGATGAAGAGTTCATATACTCTATTGAATAAGTCAAGTATCAAAACTGGTATTCAAAAGTCACCACTAGGATAAAAGATTTTAATTTCTCGGTTATCGCATTAATAAATTCGGACACAGATATAAATTGCATTAGAGAAGGGATTGTCACTTCCAAATATTTTGAGAAAACATCTCAGCAGGTGAATGCCGCTGATGGAAGAAAATTAGGAATAAAATATAAAATCCCTACAGCTAATATTTGTAATCAGGGTACTTGCTTAAAATCTACCTTCCTTATGATTAAACACCAAAATCAAGAAGTAATTTTGGGAACACCTTTCTTGCTATCAATCCTTCCCTGCCAAATAGATTCTACAGGGATCACTACTACCATAGGAGAAAAAACAATCACCTATAAATTTTGTCAAAAACCAAAAATCACTACAATAAACACCCTAAAAGAAAGCATGAAGGGTAAAGTCAAGTTTATCTCTAAACTACAAACAGAGATAAAAGAAAAGCAGATAATTAAGGTGCTAAATGACCCAAAAACCTAGTTGGAAATTAAAAATTTCCAGACAAAAATAGGAAAAGAAATATGCGTTGAAACCCCTAGCGCATTCTGGCACAGAAAAAAAAAAAAAAAACATATGGTGGATCTTCCATATGAAGAGGGATTTAATGAAGCTAAAATCTCTCTCTCTCCCCCTCATCCTTCTTCCCGTCTCCCCTCCTCTATTCCGTCATTTTCCGCTACAACTCGTTGCAGCACCAGCTTGGGTCGCAGCTCCTTCCTCCCCAATCTCTCCTCTCTCTCATTTTCTCTTTTCTCTGCCTTCCTCTCTCTCTCTCCCCTCTTTCTTTTATTATTCATTTTTTTTTCATTTTCTACTCCTTCCCACAGTTGTTGCCCCCTCTATCACCGCCGAACTAGTGGCAGTAATGTCGTTCTTCCTCTCCTTCTCTCTCCTTTTTCTCTATCCTCTCTTTCATTCTCCCTCTTGCCTATTATTTTTGTCATTCTCTGCCCTCTTGCACTCTTTCATCGTTTAAACTTCCCTTCAGTCATTCATCAATCCTACTCGTCGTCATTTCCACCGATCAGACAGGGTAGAGTCATCGTAGTCATCACCTGAGTGGTTATCCTTGCAATAAGAAGCTTGTCTTACCTTCGTCAACCTCCTGGTGGAATTATTCCAAAGCGGTTGTTATCCGAGGAAGAATAAACCGAGATCGAAGTTTGTCTAAGATTTCCCATCTCTCTTCTTCGTCTTTCCAAGTCAAAACGCACCCAGTTCCACCATTCGAACTCAGAATCTACGATCGAAAGTTGTTATCTCACTGGTATCTTCATCACAAGCTAGTCTCGTCTTCGATGTTCTAGAAAGGTGATCTAACCCAGAAACACACTCTTGTTGCAGCATCCAATCTCAGGCCGATATATCCTCAGGTAAGTCCAATTATATTTGTCTTTGATGAACAGTGTATTCTTCTCCCCAATTGAAAGTAAAAGACATAAATAAGCACAGAACATGCATTGCCAACACTACCCCTATTGTGGCCATGGGAATGCCACTTCCTTCCAAAGTAGACCCTCCTCTTGCTTCACAACCACATCCGACAACAGAATCCTCCCAAATTTATCCTCAGCCACCACCACCGCCATAACCAATAATGGCCTCGTTCCTTTGTGCCTCCGGCGGTGGTTGGTAATGTCGGAGATGAAGAGGGTCCTCCTCCTGCTCCCCACATTCATCCCAAACGTGTGGGTGGAAATGGGAGAGAGAGAAGAGGACAAGCGGAGCAAGCGAGAGATGCTTATTTCATGGTAGAGATGGAGCCTGGAGGTAAGGAAACAATACCAACGTGGCACTAGTGGCAATAAGGTGGTGCCACTTGACTTCGGCCCATGAAATCAATCAAAAAGATAAAGGGCTATATGAGAAGAGGAGAGAATAGGAAGTGGGCCATGGCGCATCAGAAACTTAGAAAACTAGAGAGAGAGAGAAAGAGAGAAGTCAGAGAGGAGGATGGAAGGTTAGCCGTCATCGTTGCTTTGAGTAGAGAAGACGGTGATCTTCGCCAAAAAGGGTATTTTGGGTATAATTTAATATTAAATCAAACACCTGAACGTAGTTGTCAAGGCGCCTAGACGGGCACCTAGGTGATGGAATTTGAAAGTATAAAATAAAGATCCATAACCCTTCTTAAGCTACTATTTTAGTTTTTTGTACTGACCAACATACCATATACTGGTTATTAGCAATAAATTCATTCAAATAAAACATAAAATTCCATCATATACATCATACCTGTTTCAGGCCAAGAAAAAAGGAGGAATGTAGCAAAAAAAAAAAGAGAGAAAAATAAGGGGGCAGAGCCCCTGTTTTGTTCCCAAAAAATATTTCTTAAAAAAGAAAAAAAAAACATAGTAGTTAGAGGACATGGAGCAAAAAAGAAAAATAGGAGTAAGAGAGTTGAACTGTCTTTAAGGTGGCAAAGGCCCTGTTTCAGGCTAACAAAAAGGGAGAATGCTGCAATAAAAAGAGAGAAAAATAAAGGGACAGACCCCTGTTTCGTCCAAAAAAAAGCATTATTAAAAAATAGTGCAAAACAATACAGGAAAGGTTTAGAAAGTTGGGGCGCAGAAGAAGAACCCCTGTTTCGTTTCCAAAAATTCTTTTAAAAAAAAATAGAAAATAAAATACTGGAGTACCAAGTTGATTTGAGGAAGGAGGAGGGAGGAGGAGGTTGAAGAGGCAGAGCCTCTATTTCATCCCAAAAAAGTAAGAAAAAAAAGGGCCACAGAACAATTGGACTGTTTAAGAAGAAGGAGAAGAAGAAACTTACCGGGAGGTCTTGGATGACTTGGACTAAGTCTTTGGTTTCTCTTCTCAGTCTCAGTTCAGAATGCAAACCCAAATAACTTTTGTAGCTTTAGTAAAAAATGATTTATCTTTATAAAAATAGTTGTAACATACAGCAGGATGTATACTAATAAAATAAAACCAACCAATAAAATGATACAATATATAAAGGCATTCAAAAAATGATATTGTGTATATGTGTGAGCATCTAATACAAAAAACACTTGGCGTTGGGCGAGGCGACTTCTAAAAATCGCCTAGTCACCTAGGCGTCGCCTTGGCAACTACGCACCTGAAGTCACGTGTAAACGGTCTGTGGCGGAGACTTATCAAGAAGGGAGATGTACGACAATTGTCAAAAACAGTAGGGGTACTTTAAGACAGTACTGAAACAGTAGGGGTATAGTTAGTCAATTTCCTAAACCTTACGGGTTGTTTAAGAAATTTGCCCTAAAATATAATAGGTGCATATGTTTTGCATTTTGGACTCTTGATTGATATATTATCAATAAATTGAGTGATATCCATGCATCCTGTTATATTAATTGTAATATATTTTTTTCATTTATACCATTAAAATATACATTTCTATGTATTTATACATTATCTGTGACTATTTGACTTTAAATTTAGTATTACTAATGTAGTTATGGAATTTGTACATGTTTTCAAAGCATATCCATATCCAAATTGTCTGATTTGATGCCCGATACCAATACTTTAATCCTTGGGTGCAACTATAAATCCATCTCCCCCGCCTACTACTAAACCCACACTTGGGTAGGGCCAAGTCTAGAAAGAAACAGTCTCCGAAGTCATAAGCTTTCTCCAGATCAATCTTACAAACCCAAAACTTTCTTCTTGTTCTTCTCAACACATTCATTGACTATCAAAATGAGGCCAATCATTTGCCTCCTGGCTAGGAACATTCCTTAGTTTTGAGAGATAGAAGGTAGAACCCCTAACCTTAAGTATAGAGCATTCACCATCCCTTAGAAGTGTAAATGACCATCAACATGTACCTTCTTTTAGCTGTAGACAGTACTTCCAGAAAGTTATGCATAAATATGTAACTTTTACTTATAAAAAATATGTAATATGTTATTAATTGCATAGTGTATACCGAATTAGTATTCATTGCAAACAACAAGAAGGACCTACTGGAACGAATATCAATAGTAATCAAACATAAACTTCAGCCAAAGGTTATGCATATTCAGGTGTAAAGATTTGCCTGATACAAAATAGTATGAGCAATATGCTAATACCGTGAGAAGATAATCAGAACTCAGAAAATCTCCTCAAGTCCTTGTTCTGTTAATAATTTTCTAAAGGCAATCAAAAAACTTACCTAAACACAGAACAGGGGTCTTGGTATCTTTAAATCCACGGAAGATGCCTTGAAGAGCCAGAGAAATCACAACTGCAGGAGCACCAAAGGCTCTCAGTGAGAGAAATTTCTGTGCTGAAACACGCATGGGTGAAGCCTGTTCAAAAAAAAAGAATTTTAGGAAACAGTCCTCCCCTGTAAATAGAAAATGATGTACATGAAAAATGAAATGACATGACACAGAAAACTGAGATTTGTGAAAAGAACATATTGGAAAATAACTTTGTATCAGAGAACACTAGATGCCATTGTAATCGCAGTACAAACATGCTCAGATAGATGATGGAATATGTCAATTTTTTTATAAATGATGGAATATGTTAAATATTATTTAACTTAAAATATGTTTTAACTTACAGTTGATATACCCATAATGTTGAGGAGCGCTCCAGATCCCAAAGACAAGGCTATAGCCTCAATGACACCAATTCCAAATGCCAAAAGTAAGGCAGTAGAGACAGATTGAAGTTGCTTTCTTTCATCCTTTTCATTGTGTTGCTTATTGTTATGATTTTCTTCCTCACAATCCCCATCTGTGGACCAATCAACCTAATTACAGATATAAAGTGAAACTGCTGAAAGGAAATAATTTTGCTATATATGCAATGAAATCAATGATAAATGCATGTTCAAAAATTAACTTCCAAGTCCTCAAACCATCTAACAAACTACCTGTGGGAGATCTCTTGTTTGTACTTTTTGAGATATCTTCAGCCACAAATGAAGTTGCAACACTAAGGAGGGGAATATTGAATAACTTCGATATAATGTTAAAGATTGATATGGAAACACCAGCAGAAGCTAACTCCACAGAACCTACACAGTCAAATAAAAATGAGACTTTTCCAAGTAATGGTGCCAATGACATTTTTTAGACTGGTGACTGAATTTTAAATACAAAGAAAACAAAAATTAGAAAAATCATATGAATATACAAAACAGATCTGATTTTTCAGAGATTTGATCAGGCATGACATCCAAAGAACATTAAAAAAAATCTAATGATAAGGACTTAATGTCCAAACATATGAAACAATACATACACCAAATATTGAAAGCAAAGAAGTTCTGCAACAGACCAACAGCGAAACCAACAAATACATAATAGAGCCCATATGAGTAGATATTTTGAATTAAGATTGAGGCCTAGACACTTAGTTCAGGTTTCATAGTGGTTAACCCCTTTTAAACATCTGATTCATATGATAAAAGTAGAGAGTTTTGAACAGTTACCTAATCTACCAATATAAGCTGTCTCCATCAGTTGTGCCAAAGGATCAATTGCTTGTCCAGCTAGTGCTGGTAAAGTAAGAAAAATGAGCTCACTTTTGACATTTTGAGAATGTGATTGCCTGCTAGCTGCCCCCGACAACTCACTGACAACCAAATAAAAGGAATTTGCAACTAATATGTAAGAATTATAATCTAAGTCACAGGGAAAACTATTTCTTAATGGCATCAAAACTTCACAGAGAACATAGAAAGCATTGGACAATAGAAAGAAGAGCTATCAGGTTAGCATGTTAGCAGTCAGCGTGAAGAACAAAGATAAGCCAAAGAGTTTGTCCATATTGCAAACCCATTATTTCTCTATACCTTTTTCAATTAATACCAATTAGGGCTGGCAATGGAAGTTGAAATAAATTCGGTATCTTAAAGTGATCTCATAGGACCTGATCAAACATGAATGATGGGATCCAGGTTTGGTTTAGTATATAAAATAGGAGGGAGAGGCCTGACAGATTTAGGATTTACATTTTGAAGTTTCTCCATGTGCTGATTCTCCAACTGGCCACTGGTGCTTCCTCTAAAATACTTGGGAATTTATGGAAGATAACCTTTTTCTCCAAGTGAACGATTTATTGCACTATTGTTCTTCAATTGTGAAGCTGGTTGGAAATTTATGGGAGATAGCCTTTTCCTCCCAGTGAACAAATTATTGCACTATCATTCTTTGTTTGTTAAGCTAGTGGAATATTAAAGACAAGGGCTTAAATATTCTTTTAGGCAGGCTACCTGTAGTTCTTTTAGGAGAAGAAAATAAATTATTCCAAAACCAAGTTTTGATACCTAAAACTCAAGATGATCACCCAAACTTGAAGATTATTTTATGTAAATT